CTCTGGTGTGATTGGGCCTAAGGGGTAGATTAACGACCATATACAACGAGTATAAAAGCATATAATAAGAAACAATTGTAATTTAATAAGAGTGTATTATTTATTTCTTGCTTATTTTAGAACTCACAATAATTACCTTTGTTATACGGCTTAGAAAAATATCGCATTATGATTGCTGCAGAGCCATGTCACGTGTCATGAAGTAAAAACCAATATTAAACCGAATAATAAACCGAATAACAAACCAATGTCACCCGCTGAGTGGTGTTGCCACCTAGCATAAATAATTATTCTCGCCCTCTATAGCCCTCACGATTGCGTGGCAAAACGTTAGCGTAAGTAGGTAAAGTGCCTATCAGAACTGGCTAAACATAATTACAGTAAAAACACTCTAAACTCCTACCGAGTTTCTAAATTTATTCGCCGAACCTTATAATAATGTTTGCCATATGAATATACAAGATGGCACTGTCGTTTCTTGATTAATGCGTGACGAGCCAATATTTTGTTCGATTGCCTTACATTTTCAGTCTCTCGGTCAGAATTGTGATTACGCTATGGAAAATGTTTAGAAAGTGTTTATTGTAACTTTCTGGACGATGTCTATTGAGTTACGCACATTTAAATCATATGTAGTCTATACGACAATTATTAAACAATTATCACCTGCTTGCTATGACAATATATAATTTTGTGGATTCCTGAAAAACAGGTACAAATCAAGGTCCAGGGCAAAAAATTAATCTTACCTCAGACCCTCGGTCTCGGGCAACATTGATTTTCGCTCATTGGAAGGCTGAATGGAATATTATAATGGAATATGTTATTATATGGATAACGTACTCATTTTTTGTTTCACTATTTCAATCATACGCCCAACCCTTCCTTGAGGATATATGACAACATGTAGTGCAGCTGAGTGTTTGTGAGAGCTGAAAAAGCTCGCTCTTACCGCAGCGCATGCACATCTGCACATTCATGCGCGAGTATTAATAAATAATGCTGAAACTACCGTTTTTTGGATTCAACTAATAAATCATAAAAGGGGGGACGAATCATCAACATGGAGGCGGGTGCTAGGTGGAGACGAGAAGGAGAAATAAGTTGCTTGCGCAGAGGCGGGAATAAGAACAAGTGACTAGAACAGGTTCTATAAGGCGATACCGTTGAGGGCATGTTCCCTAAGAATATGTTTTAGTTTAACACTCGCAGGCAAACACATCTTCTTCTTTGGACTGGTTTTATCGGTCTCTTTGCCTGATAAAACATTCAGATTTTGCGCCCGAGAAAGATTAAACACACTCACCCTTGTAAAGCTACAACGGCCTTCGCTTATGAGTGAAAGAGATTGAGAGAGAGAGAGAGACGCGCGCTGAGTAAAAATAACATCAAACATAATACGGCGTAGACATAATATTATCCTCGTAAAATCGTCTGCTGTCATGATTCACACACCGGATCTGTGTCCCGCGTGCGTGTACGCGTGTCGTGTTAACATGCGTGTACGCCTCGTCGTGTCCGCGTGCGTGTACGCGTGTGTGTTAACATGCGTGTACGCTTGCGTGTCATCGTGCGTGTACGCTCGTGTGTCCGCGTGCGTGTACGCGGGCGTGTACGCTCGTGTGTCCGCGTTCGTGTACCCTTGCGTGTCCGCGTGCGTGTACGCGTGTGTGTTAGCATGCGTGTACCTTATCGTGTTCAGCTGCGTGTAGCTCGTGTGTCCGCGCTGCGTTACGCGTGCGTGTACGCGTGCGTGTTAGCATGGTGCTTACGCTCGTGTGTCGCGTGCGTGTATGCTTGTGTGTCCGCGTGCGTGTACCTTGCGTGGTCCAGCGTGCGTGTACCCTTGCGTGTCCGCGTGCGTGTACGCTTGCGTGTCCGCGCGTGCGTGTACCCTTGCGTGTCCGCGGTGCGTGACGCCTTGCGTGTCCGCGTCGCGTGTACGCTTGCGTGTCCGCGTGCGTGTACGCTTGACGTGTCGCGCTGCGTGTACCCTTGCGTGTCGCGTGCGTGTACGCTTGTGTGTCATCGGGCGTGTACGCTTGTGCGTCCGCGTGCGTTGTACGCGTGTGTGTCCACGGGCATGCTACGCTTGCCGCCGAGGTGTGTACGTGTACGCTGTGTGTGGTGTACCTTCGTGCGTATGCGTACGTGCTGTGCACGTGCGTGTAAGCGTTTGATACGTATATTTGTGTGCTTGTGTGTCGGTGTGTGTGTGTGTGTGTGTGTGGTGGTGTGTGTGTGTGTGTCGTGCTGTCGTGTGTGTGTGTGTGTGTGTGTGTGTGTGTGTGTGTGTGTGTGTGTGTGTGTGTGTGTGTGTGTGTGTGTGTGTTCGTTCGTACGTTTCGTGTATAAGCGATAAAATAAATTAAAATATTATATTTCTTTAGAATTTTCAAAAGCAGTTGTACAAAATACTTCATACAGTCTCATTTTAAAACGTATACTTGACTTTATTTGTTTCCATTGGAGTGAAAAATTCGCACGTACACTAAAGACAGTGTGAGTATACGATGCGCGTATGCGTGTGGCCAATATAACAAAGGGGTATTTTAGTGCTGATAAACTGATGTGCTAATTCGAGAACGTACGATCGGAATAATCCTAAGCCTTAACACCAAACTGAACTACAACTGCATAATTATAGACTGAACTCATAACACTAAACCCGAGAATCATCTACGTATTCCCTTTAGTCTGCTTCTCTGTTTACCCTCTCCTGCATTTGATTACGTTACATTCCATATTTATTTGAAGCCAACGAAACGGAGACATTGTTGGGCCACGTGTCTCAACGTCTGTCGGCCTCTATTTTTAACATTCTTTCGTAGCCTGTAGCTCCCTTCCACTGTGACAAGATCGGAATCCTGCTTCGCGTGGGTCGGCGAGCGTGCGTCAAAACGAACATAGCAAGTAACTGCATAGCAAGCTCTAATATTAAAAACACCGCGAGTTTAAAACAAACAAACAATCATCTACAAAGTAAATATATAAGCTGTAACAGTAACGCGCTAAGAAAGCAGGCCCAATCAAGTCCATCTACACTAGCTGCTTACGTAAAATACTACACTCTTCTTTATTCCTCCGCGCGAGCAACTTAGTCACTCTGTCGTGCGCGAACCGAACCGTATACTGATTGCTTATAGCAGCACTAAGCTTGCTTGCTGGAGGAATTACACACTAGCTGTCCGCGTTTTATATAAAAAAAACGGGTTATTACGAATCTAGTTGAAAAATAAAATGCTTTTCGTTTAAAGAGTAAGGCACACGTTTATTCGTCAGATTGGTGGCAGTGTTGGGGCACGTGTTAACAGTGACGACTGCTTAGTAACAACAGATGCTGCCTAGCTCATGTGGTGCCAGGAGCGATGTGGCGTAACGTCACAAGGTAATATCGGAGGTGAGAGCGGTGGCAGTTCACGGTAAACGTTAAGCGCTCGTTGTAGAGTGTGTTGACCGGCGTTCGAAGCGACATCTGACGGGTATCCTCGTAACCGGCATTCCGTGACTCTCCTCCGTTGCCCTCTTATTACTGCGATCTCTGAGTTTGGCTCGCAACATCCTGAAAACGGCAGAAGGAACATTGTTAAAATATATTGTCGTTTCTCAGCTAAGTCGCCGCTAACTAGTTGTCTCAACGTGGACGCTGCTTAAGCTATTTCGTACATATTCGTTGGAATTATTTGTTATTTTGGGGCACTGATTCATTAGAACAGATCCATAATAAACAGGCTCTCCTAAATTTTTATGTTTAAGGATTTCGGTTAATTTTCTGGTGGGGTATTTGCTTCCGGTAAAATGAAGCGTTGCTTACATCTCCTCTCTCGTTGTGCAATGACGTCATGACGTGGGTGCGGTCTCCGGTCCACTGTCTGACCGTAACCTGAAAAAAATCGCAATACAATATTAGTTATCGGGCCAACAAACAGACACTTTTGGTAGCGCATTATAACATGACTTAAAGCAGGAAGTAGAGGCTAAACGCGCATTATACATGCTTGTAGTAGATTCCAAGAACTCTCTATTATTCGCATTAGAATTCGCCGCGGATTTCGGGTCATTCGGATACCTTGCGATCACGAGAGGCCTATTACTGAGCTATTCGTGTTCCGACGTGCCCCGCCCAAATTCTATTTACTCTGCGGGTGCTGCTGCCGTGTAGCGTTTCGCTAGGCATCAGATCCCCGTGTAGCCACGCGAAGTAGATGACAAACGCGCTACTGTGATCTCAGAAGCTTTCGTATTCAAACAGCGGCCAGCATTGACGGCATGGCGTCGCTGTCACGACAGCGATCGCTCTCGCGAGTTTCCAAACAAGATGACACCGCTGTTATAGAATTTCGCACCGTAATTGCACGGGGGCTTTATGACCGTGTTGACCGCGAAGATTATCGGTCAGTGTTTGCCGTCGGCGAGGATTGCAGCTCGCTGGGAATCGAGTTTGTCGCGCCTCTGTCGCGTCATTAGGGTCGCACGGTGACGATAAACATGAAGGTTTGAGCATTTTTTAGGAGACATGTCACGAGTTTTATCGGCATGCGTGGGCTTAACGCTTGCATGGCGCGTTTCCAGTGGCGAATGCGGTGCGTGGTTTTATTCACAATGGCTCCATTGTACGCGGCATTCTTGCGACTGTGTAGTCTAACGTGATATCTATACGCTGTACCGCGCATACCTGCGTATTGCCTGGCTTATTAATGCATCATTTGAGTAATATAATGCATCGGTTCACACTCAATGGTATTGGAAGTAAGTGTATAAAAGCCACTCTGCTAATTTGGCGCTAGTTTTGCAACGTGGACATACCTTCTGGTTGCGTCCTGCCTTAAGGTTGGATCCCGGAGGGAATGTATATATGACGTCATCGTTTCGCCTGATTTGCCAGCCGTCCATTTTTTGATCCTGTAAAAATGAAACCCGTAAGTGTCACTCATCTTTGTCAATCGCAGGGATCGCCTTAACGACAATTTTATGTCGAGTTATTTGAAGACGTGACGTTTCTGAAGAAGACATTTTTACCCATTTTTACACAACCCACACGACGCGGCTACAGATGTTTGCCAAATGGTAACATCTGCATCACGGAGAGTAGGAAAACTAAAAAGGCACGTACGCTGTCCCTGGTAGTGTTCTCCATGACAATGAAATTATCATCTAGGTTGGCTTCGCCAAACGCCACGGTGCCCTTGGAGCGCTTCTGGATGTTTGTTTTAACGGCCGATTCGATCGTCTGCACGTAGGAGCGGTCAACAGCTGCGGAAGGCAAGGTACACGTAACTCGATGACGTCACGAACCTCGGTAGAATATCCCACGCGAAGTTAGTCGACACGCACGATGCTAGAATTCTTCTCATTATCACACGCGTTCTACTCACGGCAGTGGATAAGTACATTGTGATTACTATGATACAATGATTACTATGCGTGAAAGTGGCAACTGATTCCACACCCTAGACCACCTGTGCGACTTACGTGCACTTATGTAAACGCCTATATTTCTAGCTACCGCACCTTCTGCTAATTAATGGAGATGTTATGTTTGGACTCTGTGGGAAATTATACGCGGCAGTTCATAAGAACCATTTTCGGGCCTCGTTTATAAAAAAAAAACATTTCTTAACAGTTGCTCGACATGACACTTGTTCGTAATAGGCGGGAATTTACGAGTAGATGGCTACACCCGTGGCACCCGTTGGTTGCGTGAGTATGTCGCACGAGTCACGTGATCGATCCCGCCCCGTGACGTCACCGCGAGCTGCCAGGCTACGCGGTTGTAATGTAAATCTACTTGCGAGTGGGCGACCTACTTACCATGCTGACTGCTCATTTCTGCCTGGTGCATGCTGGCTTCCACCATTGACTCCTGCATCCTGAGGAAGAGAAAGAAAGTTGTCAACGTTTATGCATGCTACTATTAACTAAGCACATGCGGCGTTGAAGGAAAATAACTGTAATCTTTGCACTGTTCCTAACCCAGACCCGAACTATAAGCTACCAATTACCCAAACCAGAATTGCAACCTATACACCTACCCCTAACCGTGAACCTAATATTAACACTAACCATAACTGTAACCCAGAACACGTTCCAATTACTAGCCTTAGCTTTGGCACTAACACTTAGCCCCAACTCTAATGTCGCCCATATTTTAGATGGAAGAAAGTGAGCCTACGTTAGAACGTTTCGCGGCTGCGTGCGTTCGTATGTGCGTGCGTGCATGCACGCGTTTGAGTGCGTGCATGCGTCTGTGCGTACGTTCGTGCGTGCGTGTGTTCGTGCGTCCGTCTGTCCGTGTATGTGTGTGTGTGTGTGTGTGTGTGTGTGTGTGTGTGTGCGTGCGTGCGTGCGTGCGTGCATGCGTGCGTGTGTACGTGCCTGCGTGTCTGTACGTGCGTGCATGTGTGCGTACGTTTGTGCGTGCGCGTGTTCGTGCGTGCGTGCGGGTGTGTGTGTGTGTGTGTGTATGTGTGTGTGTGTGTGTGTGTGTGTGTGTGTGTGCGTGCGTGCGTCTGTATTTACGCTGTGCGTGCCTGCGTGCGTGCGTGCGTGCGTGCCTGCGTGCCTGCGTGCGTGCGTGCGTGCGTGCGTGCGTGCGTGCGTGCACCCCGCGTACCTAGTCTCCTCGCCGCTGAGCAGGCGGCGGTAGGTGGTGATCTCTTCATCGAGACGCAGCTTCTCGTCCAGCATCTCCTGCATCTCGCGCAGCATATCCTCGAGCTTCGACTTCAGCAGCAGCATCTTTTCGTCGCGCTGCTTCATGTCGATGTCGAACTCACTGCGCTCGTTGGTCAGCACGCGCTCCAGCTCCTCGATGCGCCTGCGCAGATGATCGCCCTGCGAGAACAGCGGACGTTAGTGACGGGTGATATTCTAGTCTTATAATCAGTTATATTTCAGTTATTCTTATAGACTTCTTATAGGCAGTTCTTCTTATATTTCAGTTATTCTTATAGACTTCGTATAGTCAGTGCTTCTTATATTTCAGTTATTCTCATAGACTGTTTTTAGTCAGTTCTATAGGCTGATCTCGTGCGAGCGGACGAGCGTTTGTGATGTTAACTCGAAGAGTCGGAAAAACTCCGTGGGTATTTCTTAGTCACTCGTCTTTAGGAATAATCTTAACGGGCACGATTTAGGGGGGGGGGGTATTTGATCACGGAGAGTCGAGCATCTCGATGAAATATGTGAGAGGTTTTATTAGTGGCCTGTTTTTTTTAATTTGCTACATCTCGTCGCCAAATCTAGTAGATGTACGCTCGGTGAGCATATATAATTGTGTTATTCGCAAACACGAAATGTTCTCACTGAACCAGAAATGTGCAACAGACTATGAATTTGAACACCGCTTAGGCCTATCATATGACGACAATAGGGAACAAAGGGTTAATAGGCACAATATACATTTATAGCGAGCATGCTCAATGCAACTTATAGCACAGTCTGCCTGCCTGCCTTGGCACCTATAAATAATTCGGTAGAACCGTGATGTCGGCAATGGTCGGAGTAAATAAGTATGTATTACGGAGCAGTTACAGACAGGAAGCGAGTTGTTTTGCTGTAGCAATTTTTGCATTTCATGCAGAACATCACGCCTAACATGTCGTTTAGCTGTGATCGGCAATAATGGATAAGAGAGCATTACATGACCATTGACCTCGGCTTATAATTAATATACACTGATGATCGTGAGTGATACTGATTTATAACTAAAATTAAAACTTGTGCAGTCAATAGTATGTAGTCCTATATAGTCATAGTGTGGATTGGTTTAGTTATCACCATGAAATGCTTAATCGTTAACTCGATTTCCTAATTTAGTAACTCTTACCCTAGACTTAAGGCCAATGACATCCTTGCTCATCTCAGTCTCCTTGGTGCGGTCCTTTCTAGCCTGGTCCTTCAGCGACAGCTCCTCGCTTGACTTCTTGGCAGTGGTCTTGATGATTTCTTGGATCTGAATGTCAGAAGCAAAAACATTGAAAATTTGCACGCAATGTCCGATACGTGCCCGTGGTTTCCCATTGCATCGATTGTCTTCGAATTAATTCGAATTCATTTGCGTGTTCATTGATTTTCGCTTGTCCGTTAATGCACAATTAAATTACCAGGGGGAAGGATTTGAAGGTTTTCGTCGATGTCTAGTGTGCAACGTTCAAAGCCAATTTTATATCGCATTACAAAGCGTGGGGGCAGTTGTTCGATGCGTGCATACCCTGGTCTGATAAACCTCCTCGTTCCTGGGCTTCTTTGCCATCTGCTCCTCGTACTCCTTGCGGATGTCGCGCAGTGCCGACGACAGCTCGTTGTGGAAGATGTTGCGGTAGATGTCGGTATCATCCTTCATGAGACTGTCCAGTAGTTCGCGCAGCTCCTGCCGTTCACAATACACCGTTAATACTCACGCGATGTCATAATTATATCGGTTGATGCTGATGCTAACTACGCGACATATTAGGAAACAACTGCGCGTTACATGCTTTCTTATAGCCGTCGCGCGCATAAACTATCGTCGATACTGCATGAACTGCACATAGTGCATCTGATGCATGTATTGCATATATTTCATAGCATACGTATACACTAGTACGGAAGTAATATGTAGCATTCACTGAATATTTGTGGTCAAGTGCTTGTGGCACATGCCATAACATAATGGTCATTTGGGTGTGGCACATGCTGAAATCGCGGTCAAGTGCCTGCGGCTCGCGTTAACCTGTGGTTAGGTATGCGTGGTTCATGCTAAACTGAAGTGGTCAAGTATACGTGGCACGCGCTAAAGTGGGTGTTCGTGTGAATGCGACACACGCTGAACTATTGTGGTCAGCTGCATATGGTACGCGCTAGCATGGTTCGTGATAGCGCACCTGCTCGTGTAGCTGCTGCTTGAAGGCAATCTCCTCCTGTATACCTGGGATACGGTGCTCCAAGTCCTTGCGAATCATTATCTCCTCCTCGTTCCTCTGAAATATGGTAATATGGTAAATATGGTAAACTTGGTCATTAAAAGATTATGATTTATTATGTTCGTGTGGAGGCAATTGCTGTTAGAGTCGTCGTCGTCGTCGTTGTTGTTGTTGGTGGTGTCGATAATGATGATGATGATGATGGTGATGATAATGATGATGATGATGATGATGATGATGATGATGATGATGATGATGATGATGATGATGATGATGATGATGATGATGATGATGTCGTCGTTGCCGTCGTCGTCGCAGTCGTTGTGTCGTCGTCGTTGTTGTTTGTGTTGTGTTGTTGTTGTTGTTGTTGTGTGGTGGTGGGGGTGGTGGTGGTGGTGGTGTGGTGGTCGTGGTGGTGGTGGTGGTGTTGGTGTGGTGGTTGGTGGTGGTGGTGTCGTGGTGGTGGTGGTGGTAGTAGAGACAGACGTCCCAAGTGTCCAGGCTCACCGGGATCGTCCCCCGGATGCGGTCCCGGTGTCCCGTTAAGAGCTCCAGAAAGTCCGCGGTCGTAACATTTTTCAGCCATATTTTAACATTTACATCAGTAAATTACTTAATTTGCCCGTGGTTGTTGATGTACTTTGATTCAGCGAACAATAAAAGGCCACAAATGTATACTTTATGTTTTTTTTACATGTATACTTTATAAAAAAAATGGCGGTGCGCCGCGACAAACACATGTCGCAGCCCGCCACAATTTTTTTCCTGTTTTTGCACACGCGAAAAACAGCGATGGACCATTATTACAAGTGATTCCTTTCTTGGATTTTCCCAACTTGGGACCACTGGTAGAGGTGGTGGTGGTGGTAGGGTGGTGGTGGTGGTGGTGGCGGCGGTGGTAGCGGCGGCGGTGGTAGCGGCGGCGGTGGTGGTACGTAGGCGTGGTTGTAGGGACGCCGGGTACTATTTCCTCGTACTTACAATCTTCGTGTCGTTGACGAGTGTAAGAAGACGGTTGTATTCCCTCTTGAGACGAGCGATTTCGTCCTCCAGGATTTTGATCTTAGCCAGCAATCCGTTGATGATGGCGATCTTCTGCGCCATCTGATCCTCCAGCTCCAAGAGCCTGAGTATATCCTCAGAGTGAATGTCATCAAGCTTGTGGAATCTAAAACCAAACAGGTAATGAGATGCTGCTGGCTGTGAGTAGCACTCGATGAGCTGCGTGCTTCAGAATCTGGTTGCGTACACAGCATCTACTATCGATGTCCAATTTCAACCAGTTGCGACCATAGGAATAACAAAATCCTTTACTGGTAATGCGTTTTGTTATTCCTATTGTCGCAATTGGCTGAAACTATAAATTGAGAGTATGCTTCGCTAAGATGAAATAAGATGCCACAGAGATCCTAGCATTAGTACTCATTGGCTGCTATCTCATTACAGAATCGCGCCACCACACGAGCTCTCTCATCCGAAATGGTTAGAGATATCTATTGAAACGTCAAGTGGACTCCGAGTAAGAACCGAACGGTTTCGATGGGTACGTATCAGAATGGCTTCACCCTTAGTGATTTTAAGGATGGAATACCAAACGTTGGCTACGATGCGAGTAAGTGAATCCGTTTAAATTAAATAGATTTATTTCGCACGATGTAGCACATGGTCGCACGATGTGGGTCGTGTCGTGTTAGACAGTAATAGGAGGAGGCGCCGCGTGTGTATAGGGGGCCATAGTAGCTTCGCGCCATGTCATGTTGTTGTTAGCGGTCAGCCCCGGTCACGTCCTGTGTGTCACCTGAATAGGTTTATATTGACGATGGTTGTACACTCAAAGCATAAATAAACCGCTCTCGTAGTCCTGTCTTTCGAGTTTACTTGAAGAAAAAGAGGCAGATTTTCCCGTCGTTCTGCTATTATTGGTCTAAACATATATAGAGGTCGTTTATCGCTACATGCATGGGACCAATTATAGTACGTTGTAGTAGAATCCACTATTTCTTTTGCGTTATATATTTTTTTGTTTTTTTATCGAGTAACGCGATTACGATGTGATAAGATCTGACGCCAGAATGGCGGATTTCATTGTCAAGATCCCGTCCGCTTGGCCTTGGCTCTATCAGAGCTTTCATCTTTCCCATCGTGTCTATGTTTAATCATATAGGCGCTTAATATTTGCCTAATGTACGAGTCGGGATGCACTGCTCAGACGCCACCCCAAGCTAACAGACTGTTGCTACGGCAAACAGTTACTAACTTTAAGTTTATTTTGGAGTGGCCGCTTTTCTTAGACAAACACGCCGTTTCTAAAGTGGGATTTGACAGCACAGGCACACCATTGTGATGACGTAGGCGCGGGGTGAAATATAGCTGAAGATAAAGCACGCTCTTTATAATAGAACGTGCTTACCTGGACGCGCAGGAATGCGGGGTCCTTCGAAAGAACCAACTTTAGGAGAGACGCCTTTAGATGTGCGCTCTAATACCGCCGACCACTGCAATGTATTTCTCTCAAAATTAAAATCGGCTCGCGCGCGCACAGCGACGTTTAAATTAATTTAAATTAGTTAATTAAAGTGTAGTTGTGATTTCTAAAGTATGCCCGTAAGAGATGCGAAGATTAAATTTTACTAGCTCGTTTAATAAATGCACACAATAGTGGTACATGTCATCGGTAGGTTTCTCAAGTATTCTATCGCATGAACAAATAAGTTTAGAGAATTCATTTAAGAAGTTTAAAACAATATCTATTTTGCAGCCGCCCAACCATTCCATTCGGCGGCTCCGGTGGCCTAGGTCCATCAATCATCCGAATCATGACATAACATCCGCCCCCAGTATTTTCATTCACAGCGCTACGTTCCTACGAAAGGTTAGCGCTAGTTTTTTCGATAGAAAACGCACTGTTGGAATTCGCTTCGCAGCGACGATGGCTAGTTAAATAGATATGTGTTGCGACGTACGAGCATACCACCGTACCGCAACGAGCACTTGTTACATCGGCCGAATTAGCATTGTGAATTCCGTGTATATGATCAAAATTAAATATTGATCAAAGTTACGAAGCATGTGTATACGTTGCGCCATCTGGCGTGTGCTAAACCGCACGAAAGTGCTATTAATGTCGAATTCAGTGTAGCGATTTGCTGATATCAGAGTCATAGGCATAGTGCATTAGCTTGCATATTAACTTCACATATTTTTCAAAGAACGCTGTCTACAAACAGGTTTTGTGCGGCCACGCATGCCAAGTGAATAACTTTTGTACACGCAATAGCTTTGAGTCCACCTATTTGCGCGTTTGTAGTAGAATGAAATTCATGTGGCAACCGCGTTTGCTCGTAATAGAATGGGTGAAGCTTGGCGATGCGAATGGGTTAAAGGTTTTGCCTGAATCACTCTTTTTCCTTGAACTATGAAGGATTAATCTCAAAATTAATCTCTCTCTACTACAAGCGAAAGGGTCTACTCTACGAATAATCCACGCCCTATGTTAGAACACACTTCACTATCACCCGAGAAGCAGCTTATTCCGTCACCTTTCCCCCCTTTAGCTCACCACTTTGTTTATTCTGCTCGGGACATATTACTATTCTGCTTTGTGCATCGAAGCTGCGGGGTTTTCTAGGTAGAGAGACGGAGTCGGTCGTACCTGCCCTGCGGCTAGCATACGCACGATTATAACCTTATATGGCCATCGCGTCGTCGTCTCACTAGAGCTCGATCTCCGTCTGGTTTATTACTACGTACACGCCCGGGTTTGGCCGCAGACTAATATGACTAAGATTGCCTCTTGATGGGTGGGGACGGCCATTAACCTTTTCGTTAGTACGTGCCTTTGTTCCTGATTTATTTACCATCGCTGCTGTCTCTGTCTTACTAATAGAACATCCAGCTCCGTAAGAACCTGCAGATAATGGCTACCCCAATGTACAACGCTAATGTATTTTTGGTATGTATATTTCATATATAGCTTTACAAATAAGAACACTGTTTTATCGTACCGCACAGGTAGGTGTGGAGCTTCAAGTTACTTTCTAACCACACCCAAGCAATTACCCACTACGGATCAAGACCGTTTGCTTTTGCCCGATTTTTTCATGCGATGCGTTGCATTTCTTTTAATAGACGTTGTATAATTTTAAGATAGACTTAGTGGCTGTGTTCTGGCTTTACATACGAAGAAAGTAGGTACTCCGCTAGCAAGCTTAATGCGAAGGGGCGTGTCACGAATGGGCGTTATTTGCGCACACATATCTCGGCTGCCGGACCTAGCTGCTGCCACGCCTGACCTAGACTGGCACTCATTCCATCGCTAAACGTTATTTGTCTGTTACGCAGATGTCTGGTATGAGGGAAGATGAATGCGTGGCGGAGTTAGCTACATTGTTGCCACGTGAATAATGCTAATGATGGTCTAAGAGTTATATGGAGACCAAGATTGCGCTGGCGTTGATCTACATCCCACCACGCCCACGCCGAGAAACACGCTACAGTGTATTACTCCACCCTTTCTCTCATCATGCAACGACCTTTCTCGGACGTTTATAGAGATTTTATATGACTTTGACTAAGGTGGGTTTATGATGACAGTACTCGGCATCGTCTGACAGCTAGAGAGTCTATGTACGATTAATTACAGCCATACCGATGCTTAATTCTCACCTAGGCTGGTTGAGAAGTAAACGACTTCATCACCAGGTGGCGTTTACACATGCAATTCATAAGGCTTTTGAGAAAGCATTTTTTGTCTAACGAGTCAAGTTATTTTCATCGCATAAATATAAAACTACTGCTAACGGTTCAATAAGCTGGTTAGGTTTGTATGCCAATTGATGTGAATCGCGTGCACGTACGTACTACTACACGCACGTAGACGCAGATACACGCACGTACACGCGGGTACACGCACGTACACGCACGTACACGCGGGTACACGCACGTACACGCACGTACACGGAGTGAATCGATGTGAAAGTACGCGTGGATCAGCACGCACGGCGTCTTCTAGTTAATAAAACAGGTTTATTTTCACTTAACGCAACAATTATGGTTTCATTACGTAAAAAAACATTTTATGGGTATTGGTAGCGTTTACCTTGGACTAATTATTACACGAATTGGCATATAATTTAATCACATAACGTATAATTATGTAAAACACGCAATTAATATAAAAATATAATTAATTAAAAACGTATCTCTGAATTCACATCAACTTTCCTGTTGTCGTTTCCACGAGATTTTATTGAAAATATTCTAGCTGAATGGCTGACACCTCGCCATATGATAATCAGTTGGTGATACCTATAATTACTTTCCTGTTTCACGAATTTCCGTATAGGTCACTGAATTCGACCGGTGAGACTAAACGAGGCGGATTTTCGACAGATATCGAGGCGAATATCACGTGATCGTGTGTCCAAGGACAGACGGAAAACGTGTCTCAGTAAGGACTGTATGCGGCGCATTGTAGACAGGCTGCTACGCCACAGTAATTCCATTGAGTATATGGCAGCTGCTGTGAGTCCCGGGGTCCCGTTCTAAAGGGTTTGGAGGAAACTTCTGTGGCAAGCTGTTCAAATTCTTTAGCCGCAAAACGTTATAAGAATCAATAATGTCGGGGAGAGACCGTACGAATAAAAGTCGCTAGGGGCATGCGCACAGTTTGCGCTAGGTATACACTCGGTCGTATTATAACCCGAACAGGTTTTATGGCGTCTATACCTGTCCCCGGTGTTTCTTTTTACAATTTATCCCCACGGTGAAATCCAGGTAGAAAATATTCGCGCAGGTTTGTTCATAATAGTATCGTCAGCAGCATGACAGATTTTTTTCAAGGTTGTTATGAAAGTCTAGTTCAGCAAAAAAAATCTGTAGAGGTGGCCTATTCCTCGCGGCTTACACGGTGCGTGTAAATGGCGGGCGTGTATTTCTGGTCGCGCCATATACGTCCAGTAAGACGCGTAGCAACGCCGAGAGACCGCGGCTCGCCGAGACATGCGCACAAACAACTGCGTGACAACTTTACGGCCCAGATTGTTTCGGCCTCGGGCGCCATTGCCGAACGAACGCCTACATACCGGCCGGCGCTTACGGAGAATAAACTCGCTAGGTGCGCCGATGCCAGTGTCTCTGTATGCGATACATCACTGTTAAAGGTTGTTGTCTTCAGTTCGGTGCCGAAGTTCGGCGTTTATTTAAGATTTAATTGCACAACTCGACTACTCGCGAGAGCTTATAAACTTTTACATTCCATGTCTGATAGACGTGCGTCGTAAGTGTTAAATTCGATTACACAAAATGTCACCACGTACACGCGGAATGCGACTGGAGAACCATATATTATGTCATCACATACAATCCGCCTTGTTGTTTAGTTGGTCAGAGAAGCTTTAATTGAGTAATGAATTGACATAACTGTTTATCCTGCGTAAGTGTACTCGAAACAACGAACATTGCGTCAAATGATATAGAATTTCCAATAGTCACCAGTTCACCAACTATCTACAGCAGCTTTTCCAAAACCATTGTCACGAATAGGTGATGAGCCGTGGGTGTTACGGCAGATAACCGAGTAATTAACCGAGTAAACATATATGAAGTGTGCAGCAACTATTTTATGGCAGGTGGACGCCTCTACCTATTTGTCAATAAGAGACAGATACCAAATACATGATCAAAAGGACCCCCGTTGGCTCGATTTTAAGCGCGAACATTATATCAAAATCGGCATTCTAACTGACAAGAATGATTCGTAATCGTAGCTGACTTAGTTGGTCGTGGTATTTGTATTAAGGACTTGCTAACCGCAGCGCAATGCGGCAGAAACCTTCGTGTCCGCGCGCGGTCGAATAGGTGAATGGCTTTAAGCTTTAAGTGAGGCCCGGATGGAACTTCGCACCGGGGAGCCACACCCAGTAGCCGTGTGTTATTCATTACGCGCGTTCAACGGGTGCGCATTCATTATTCTGCAAATTGCGCATGTATCCAGGGCATTCAGCCGTGAGTCATGCGCGCGTAGTGGCGAGTTTTCGTAATGCCTGCGCCGACTTATTCCTGGTTGTGCTGTTAAACCTCTTATCTAACCCTATAATACCTTCATATACACAAGCGCACGCACGCACGCACGCGCATATGCACGCGCACGCCTATGTACTACGGTTACAACCCGAAACAATTAATGTAATTATAATCAATCATATCAAATACTCGAACGGGGAGTATTCAAGTATGCGGAATTATAATCAATCATATCAAATACAAGAACGGGAAGTGCACTCAAGCCTAGTTTAAGACCCATATTTCGTAATGATTAAAATTATTTTTAGGGATAGAGTGATGATGATGATGATGATGATGATGATGATGATGATGACGATGATGATGATGATGATGTCGATGATGGCGATGATGACGACGACAACGATGATGATGATGATGACGATGATTATGAGGAATAAGAAGAAATATAAAAAAAAGAAGAAGAAGAAGAAGAAGAAGAAGAAGAAGAAGAAGAAGAAGAAGAAGAAGAAGAAGAAGAAGAAGAAGAAGAAGAAGAAGAAGAAGAAGGAGAAGAAGAAGAAGAAGAAGAAGAAGAAGAAGAAGAAGAAGAAGAAGAAGAAGAAGAAGAAAAAGACGATCAACCATGGGTGTTGCGGGATATACAGTATCCCCATTTAAATACACATGTTGTATTTATATCATGATATTTATATCATGTTGCATCAAATGGGTGTTGTAGCGTATACGATACATCCTTACAATACCCATGTTGTAGTTATAGCATGCTGTTTATACGTGTTGTAACAAATACGGGTGTTGTATGTCACCCTGCTACCGTACCGTACCTCTACCTTACATGCCCTATTCATACCGTACTTATAGTACGTATTTTATTGCTACCGTTCTCATAGTACGGATTTTATTGCTACCGTTCGTATAGCACGGATCTTATTGCTAACGTTCTTATAGTACGTATCTTATTGCTACCATTCTTATAGCACGTATTATATCGTTATCGCACTTACTTGTCTCGGAATTCGTTTGCGTCGCGGTCGAGGCGGCCGTGTCTCTCGTCGAGGCGGTCCTTCTCTCTGCGGTTGTCTTCGACGATCTCGCGCGCTTGGTTCAGCTCCGTCTCGAAGATCTGCCGGATGATGATGTTGAGCCTCTCGAGCTTCGTCTTGTAGAACTCGACGTCGGAAGACAGCTTCTTGTTGTGGAACTCGAGGAAGCGCACCGCCTCGATGTAGTTGCACAGGCGGTCGTTGAGGTCGGACAGGTCACGCTTCTCTCGCTCGCGGTGCGCGACGACGGCCATCGGCGAGCTCATGTCGCCCGTGAACGACATGATCGTCGACGTCTGGTCGGCGAGGTTCCTGATCGCCGAGCCTCGAGGCTGGATGTTCGACTTGAGTCCGTAGTCGTCGGAACTCACCTGGCCCGTGCTGTAGCTCGAGCGCGTGATCGTTTCCGATGAACTCATGATGCTCGTTGATGAGAGTGGCGAGACAGAGACAGAGACGAAAAGAGAGAGAGGGAGACGTGGATGCTAGCCGGGAAGAGAGTGCGCGATAGCAGGCGAGCGACGATGGGGTAGAGTCAGCAACACTGCAGCGTGAGCGGGCGGCCGGCGCGCTGATATAAAGGCCTAGTCACAACCTCCGCCGGCAGACCGGCCCTCGGTTTCGATTGGCCGCCGCTGGCGAGATATATGCTAATGGAATAAATACCGGTTTTAAGCGGCGTGTTGGCGCATTGTGGCTCAGCTGGTAGACGGCTCACACCCATGCGATGCGGCGACACCGGCCGGCGAATTCAGCGGGGCTGGCGGTGAGAGCTTGAAACGCGTTTGTTAATTCATGTTTTGCGAAAAAAGAAAAAATCATCGGTCCTCACCCAAACTACACGAGAAAGTTGCTTTGCCGGAGGCATGGGCATCGTTTATCGCTTACTCATGCTCGTATCTGAGATTGCAACCATCTCCACGCTCTCCGTATATGATGAACAATAATCGCCTCCATTACCTGCACCGCCCTGAAAACATCGACCGCTCTCGAGAAGTTTAAACACGAATGATTTTTTTATGGTTTTTTACACGGCGGGTAATAACGACGTACATTTAGGTGGCAGGAGATTTTACTTTCGGGCTTAGTGTCGTCAGTCTCGTAGATCGTCGTTTGGTTTTCGATTGATGTCTGACGAGGCAGTGAGAGGCGAGACCATCATCGGTGGTTCGCATACCATCTCTACTTATAATTACGCTCATTCTTGTTGGCAGTTTTTGCCGTGATATATGATGGTCGTGTCGTATAGCAGTGTATCTTTGCACACGCAGTCGCGCGCACTTCCTATAACAGATCCCTAACAGACTACGCGACTGGCTATCTAATAACCTTGGGTGACCCCTATTGTACGGCCATGCGAAAATTCCCTTGAAACCCACACCGGTGATGTATAGGAGGCGGAACACCAAATCGTGTGTCAAGGGAGACGGGACAGACTTGCATGAGCAGAAAAGCATCACCACGTGAACCGCAGAGTTCTGTTCAACCCAACCGTAATTAACGAGCAGCAGTATGCAGGGTTGATGCCCCCCTGTACGACTAGGCGCACGTTAAGAGTCAGACATGGGCAGTCGCACTGTCTATAGTCACCGCTAACAATGCCTGGAGAGCTCGTTTAGTCCAGCGAAACGCATTCTAGAAGAGATCGGGCCGATGTGAAGGCGTAAACAACGTGGGAAAGGCCGTGACCTCTTTTGTTGGAGACACGTAGAAGGCGAGCATGTTCGGCGCGTCTACAATCACACGCAGCGGCAGGGAATGCGTCGCGGTTAGGTGTACTCAGCGACAGGGAGCAGGTGTTGGGCGTGAAGCCGCGCTGATGAGGACATAGTGACAGGCGATTAATGGAGGGGCGCGGCGGCGGACGAGGGCTCTAATAACAACGAATATTCGCTTCATGTGCGTGCGTGTCCGTGCGCGCGCGCTTGCGTGCGCGCTTGCGTGTGGGTGTATGCATACAACGTGTGGGTGTATGCATGCACGGGTGCGTGTGGGTGTATGCGTGCGTGTGCGCGCGCGTATGTCCGGGTGTGCGTGCCTGTGCGTGATTGTATCAACTTGTAGTCTACTGCACTAGGCTGTGTGTTCATGCGCCTATACCGAAATCAACCTCAGCTCGAGTTTAATTTCAGTATGCTTTAACGACACGATTTTTAAGACGCGAGTATGCTAGTAGGATTACTATAGATGCAAGAGAGCTTTGCTGTGTTACTGTACGCTTTTAGGGTGTGTGTGTTTAAATACATATCAGCCGAGGAGTGTCTGATCGATCCACAAAAAACTGCACACGCTGAAGGCTATAGCAAGATCACAAAAGCTCGTTATTTCGTTGACAATGTCAACTCACGTTTGTTTTCAAGTTGTTCGATTCCGGCAGTTGTCTCTCGTGAACGCCCAGTGACGTCATCGCATAATTCTTAAACATGTCAGGCAACTCATACTCATAGTCATGGTGAATGAACGCACGCCCAGCGTGGTACCCCACCTAAAATACCTGGCTCATTAATAACACACTATTTTACACAGACAAGACATGATGTTTCTAACGTCGGCGTTAATTTCTCTCTCTCTCTCTTTTGTCTCTTCCTTTCTTTCTCTCGCCCTCTCT